CCGCTCGGTGGCCCCGGGGCGAGGGGGGAGCCGCGAGCGACCCTGCCCGCTGCCTCCCGGGGAGGTTTGCGTCCTTGCAGGCCTTCCCGGCGGGGTGGCCGGTGGGCCAGGGCAGCGGGGCTGGTTTTGTGCCTGCCCCCGCCAGCGAGCACCTCTGGAGTGACGGGAGGGAGGAGCGGGGTTCACGTGTAAACTAGTGCAAGGAGCCTCTTAAGATTTCTGTAGGTGTTCGGGATAATCTATCTTTGACTTAACTTTTGTTTTTTTCACTATCCTAACCACTGATGCTAACGCAGATATTATGATGCACTGAAGTCTGCGTTTATTGGTTGCTGTTTCCTGCATCACATTTGCACATTTAGCCTTCCTGCTTTCAGGTGTTTCTTTTGCACACAGTTAAAGACTTTAAAGAATTTAAATTGCGTATTGTTTGATAAAGCCTTTCAGTTTTGTTCAAACACTGTTTCACCAAAAAGTAACATAACTTAAACTAGTGTTACAGTATTTTTTAAATTTGTGAGCAGTATTCCCTCTCTGTGCTGCACGAAGGGCTAGAGAAGGAAAGCCTCTGTCTGCTCCCTGGTGCAAGGCATTCTCATGGTCTGTGGGGAGGGACAAGAAAATCCTTTTTGTTATGTTGTACGAATTACATATGGCCTTTGTCACAAACCCGGAGGCAAAGATCGGATAGAAACTTGAATGGGGACATTTACTGCAAAGGTGCAGAGAGGTAATCTTAGTTTCCTAGCTGCAGAGTTCTACAAAACAGGTATTTTGAGAGTAGTCACTATGAAAGATTTCTTACAGCATTTTCTGTGCTCCAGTAGTTTTGTTACAGCACGTACCACGTTCAATTTTGTTTGTTACTGAGGAGGATAAAATCTAACTTGTGGAACTGATAAGCTGCTACTATAAGTTAAGAGCTTTCTGATATATTGATGCATCACCTTTTAAGTCTTTACCATGGTGTGTGCTCCTATCTTCCCTTTAAGGTTTTATATAACTTTACTAGTGTATAGTATCTTTGATTTCTTTTCAGCCAAAGTTACGAAAAACCCAAGGAGGGAAGCAAGAGAAAAAAGTTATCCATCCTTACAGCAGAAAAGCTGCGCAGCTTGCAAGGGAAGCACACAAACAGGAAAAGAAAGAAAAGTAAGTTGACTGTGCAAAATCTGTGTACAGACTAAAGGATAGCATTGCAGTAGATATTTTTGGTCTGTGGGGAGGAGGGTGGTGGTGGAAGGGGACTGTTATGCTGATATAATGTTAAGATAAAAGAAAGACCTATATAACTTAGTACTGCTGAGCCATGTGAACTGACAGGTTTACATTGATGAAATCAGCCTATACAAATTATATAGTTTTGCTACTTTAGTTTTGGTATTGTCCTTACAAGTTAGGTTTCTTCTTATTGCAGCATTTTGCTTTTTATAATCTGAATGGCATGATGCTAGTGATTTTGCATGAAGCCTAGTCACCTAGTTTGGCTTTACTCCAAGATTTAATATGAATCTTGCTTAGGGTCTAGCTTCTTGTGCTGAAGTTTTGAGTTCATAGAAAAGAAAGCCCAGAAATTGTCCTGCAGAACAGAGACTTCTGAATAAAACTGAAGAGTTAACTCGGCTTTGGTGACTTCCTGCTGTTCCATGGCAAGTTTGATTTTCTGCTTTTAAGTTTTATTTCCCCCTTCCACAGAGGGAAGATAGCTGGAAAAGTCTGGCCTTTAGTTTCCATTTTGTCTCAGCTTGGTAGTTGATATGCTGTGATTGTTTCTTTAGAAAGTTCTTAAAGCGAACTTAAAGCTTTTTCTGTCAAAGTATACTAGTATATGGATGGACCATGTGAGCTGAGCCCAAATACTCATATGTGTGAAGGTGTTAAATTGGGAACTCCTGGTACAGTTGAAATGTTCCTCAGAGACTGTGCAATTTTATGGTTGGGGATGGGTGTACAACCTTACCCACAGCAAAATTGTAAGGTTGCTCTAACTAGAAAGGGGCCCTTTACTAGCATAGCTGTGTCACGTAGCCTCAAGCAGAGCTGCTGCAGGAATTTAGAAGTAGCATGTGTTGAGGATCAGGCAGTTTCCTAACGTGCAAGAAGTTTTACCTGCTGCTTCGTGTTTTGTCTGTGCACTCTGACTACTGACTGTAAGTAAGTTTTTATTGTAGATTATTTTCCTAGTGCTAAATTGACTACTTTGTCCCTTAACTCTCATCTTGCCTCATAACTGCCACTCAGAGCACTTGATCACAAAAGATAACTGAACCATACTCGAGTCTTAGTGCTTACATCTGTGACTTTGCTATAAAGAAAAACATACACAAGAAAACTTACTGAATGAAGGAGTAATGTACTGATTATTCGTTATGACACGGCACGCTCAATCAAATCTTTTAGTGATTGTGGGCAGAATTATACTGATACACCTGTGCTGATGTTTCTTGTTAGAGTGCTACTTTTGGTTCCACTTGCAACAGCAAGAAGTTGAAGTAAAGAACTCCCACTGGAATAGTATTCTCCCATTTAACTTGCTCTTTAATTACTTTTCTTCACGGAGAAAGTTTTAAGGTATGTGTTAGAGATTGCACAGGGCGATCTATTTTCTTGCGTGTAAGAGAGTACCAAATGCATCATTCATTTCTCCGCTTAATATTGCAGCAGTTAGGTCATCCTTTCCATGAAAAGGAATGAGAAGAGGCTGGCTTTGTACTGACTAGGCTTTGTTACTGAGGTAGCTAGATTTGACAAGTCATAGTATGTAAGTAGTGTTGCTTAATTCTAACACAGGTGCTTTTTCTGCTGAACAGCTGAAAAGTTTACTGCTTTAAGGATATTCAGAGCAGTGTCAGGGTGTCTTGAGCTACCAGAGCCACCTTTGTGGCAGTGGACTCTTAGTCTACTGCTAACATTGCCACGTGAAGTCAACAGAGCAAACTATAGAATCAAAATTGTTTTAGGAGCTAAAGGCCACTTATTAGTTTTGAGCACAAAGGGTTCAGTAAACTGGAAATATTACTGACTTTCTAACTGATCTAGACAGATACACTTGTAGTAAGCAATTGTAACACACCTTATCCTTTCTCGTATGATGATCTAGATGGTCTTAACCCTTAAGTTTGGTTTAAAAAAAAGTTCTAGGTTCCTCAATGACAGAAAAAAAAATTAATTTCTTTAATTTATTGGAAGTTTCCTTTCTTTCAGCAGTGGTCACCAAATGTATTAATTTCGAGACTTGCTTATATGAGGGTTGGTTCTAGTGCCTAGTCTTTACTGTGTAGATTTCTGTCTGTGCTTGCCAGAGTAGATTAAGTCTCATAGCTCAGCACATGACAATACCAGTCGTTTATCTGCACTGGCTCCCATGGTTGTAGTTTTACAGAAGATGTTCCAGTTAATACATCCTGGAATGTAGCCTTCAGTACAACCACGTTAATTTTTGATTTTTTTTTTTTTTTTAGACTGCACCAATAATTGCAATACTAAAAAAATGGATTTGTTGGATTGAACAGCAGTTAGCTTCTCAGTGCTGGAGAACCAGGTTATGCAAAGATGAATTGAGAGTATATGTTTAGGGAGTTTACTTACTATGCCTTGCAAGTAGCGCCTTAGCTCGACTAGCAGTACATGTAGGACAGTTGCTACAGCGTCTTCCTTCTATCTGCTAGCACCCATTGCCACTGGCTGTTAAAGACAGCTACATGCTCCTTGCCCTTCATTTGGGCTCCAGTAGTTTCCCCTGTGCACAATAACAGGTTAATCCTCTATGAAACCTTTTTTTGGAGGCTTTAAGTTTAGTTCAAATGCTTTTGCTAACACATGTAAGTCTACCATGTTATTTCAGCCTTTCTTTATAAAGTTATTTCCTTTTTGAAAAGGAATTTTAAATAAAGGAAACAAACTTATTTATAAATGAGTTTTTTACCTGTTTAAGAGACGGTGGTCTTTACAGCAGTGTGGTTAGCCTTCCTGTTCCTTTCCTCTGAAATGTGGCAAAAGGAGCTAGTCATGAGAGCAGAATCCTTCCAAGTGAAACAAGCAGACCACGTTTTGGTATGTGTCATGGATTACCTGAGGAAAAAGCACCATTTTATGAAAAACGATTAAATATGGGCAGCCAAGCGAGCTAATAAAAGGTGAGCTTCAAGGAGCCCGATGAAAGAGCAGATGGTTTATTTTGAATTCTTGTGGGGATCAGAGAAGCCTAATGCCTTCACAGAGCAGAAGTGCTTAATAGAGAGAAACTCAGTTTAAGATTAGAGGATGTAGATTACTATCCATTTCTTTAGGTTCTGTTTCTTGATTTCTGCCTTTTCCAAGCTCCCTTACTATTTCAAGTGTGAGGCCTCTAGGCTGATTGCAAAAGATGTAACCCTTCATTTTGCATAGGGAAACTGTTCCACCAAAAGTAGTGTGTCAGTCTGGACCGTCCAAAGCATATTTTGATAGCAAAATGATTTATCTATAAGTAAGATTTCTACATCTTCCAGTTCAGGATCCTAAACAATTAACTAGCCTTGTTCACAGATCTGCACTTTGTAGATCGCTTTTGTTGTGGTGTTCTAGAAACAATTTGCTTTAAAAACATCCTCCAGTTGTCTATATTCTATTTTCTGTACTGTCTTGGCTTGAAGAGCAATTTAACTGGAAAGGCATGAATAATGTTGATTTCTTTTCTTCCCTAGTGTCTTTAGAAGTCTTGCTAAGAGTTCCAGTTTCTTTTGGATCTCTGTTATCTTAATGATCAGCTTGTTACATCTTAAGATCTTTTTTTTAAATATTAGGAGTTAAGCACGTGTTTAAAAACAGTCAGTTTAACCACTAACTGGTCTTTTTTAGTGTTACTACTTAGCTTTCAGTTTCTTTAATGTAATGGTGGAGTTTGGGTTCATTTTACAGAGCTCTGGAAAAGACAAGGTAAATTTCTGATGCTGTGGACGGAGGAAAGCTTTCCAATCCTGCGCTCAGGAAAAAGTAGTAGCCTGCACCAATTTTGTTCTTCCTCATTGCTTTTGCAGGTCTATTAAATGTCTTTTTTTAGTGGCAGCTGATAATACTAAATAAATGCCCTGTCATTGTTGCTTCCAAATTTGTGACTTAACTGCAATAAGTTTACTGAAGACTTTTTCACTGGAAGATGACTTATTGAAGTTGAAATGTTTGCAGAAACAATTTTCCAAATTACTCCTATTTAATGACAGCCCTGTTCTCTGGTTGGAAGGTTATTATGTCCTTTGGTGGTAAATAGGAGAAGCTGCCTTGTAATCTCTCCAGTATTTTCTTCCTTAATCTCATCTACAAATCTGGTACTTTTTTGACTGTGCTTCTTATCATATAGAAATAAGTCATCTTAAATGTGGGGAGGGCCCAAAACTGGAGACAGTATTCTCAATATGATCTCACCAACCCTGAGTAAAGGGGATAATTTCTCTGTACAGGCTAATGCACTTCTGCAGCATGGAAAAACTGGATCAGAGACGGTCAACGAACCTAGGAAGTTCATACAGTTCATCTGTATTATTTTAATTAAGCTGTGGATTTGCTTGCCAGAAGATGCTGTAATTGTGGTTGGCTAAATTTGTGCAATAATACTTTTTGAATATACGTACATTTTATCTGTTGATTACTATTCAATACAAAGCTGTTACCTTGAGTGTAGGAAGCACTTGAATGGCATGTTACTGGAAGGTGAGAATGTCTTCTGTAGAAGCGTCAGTCAATGTTTGCTTTGGTTTTGTGTGGTTTGTTTCTTTTGTTTTTGTTTTTTTTTTCCTTTGGTGCTTGGCTGGAGACAGGATTCAGGACTAGAGGCAGTTTAGGCTTCTATTTACTTTCTAACTTTTCTGTATCATGGAAGAGGAGAAATAACTACTGTGGACATTCCTGTTTATGTTAAACAGGAAAGGAAATGGCATTTAGTTATGAGAAGCATATTCAAGTATCTTTTGCCCAAACAAGATAATAAAAAAGGGAAGACATTACCCACAAGGAATTTCAATACTTAGTGCAGCACTGGGAAGAAGGAGGGAGAAATTCTGCTCTAAGTTGCAGAAGTCTTTTAAAGCCTCTGTTGTCCAGATACTCTTCAATGCAAGCATTCTCAATGAAATATGATACTAATAATAAGCTTATTGTCCAGAAACTGTGGCTGCACTACAAAAGACCAATCTTGACCATAATAAGAGGAGCCAGACCAGTTGGTTTTAGAAAATTGACTACAATCTTAAGTTATGTGGTTCACCTGAATCACACCTTTTTCTTGCCTGCATCCCTCTTCTCTGTTCTCCTCAAGGTCTAACGAGCAGCAACAAATTCCAGTGTATTACTGCCAATTTATTCTCTCTTAATCTACATGTGAATCTTTATTCCTATAGGCAACTTCTTTGCTCTGTTAAATAATTACAAAGATGTTTTTATGAGACAGCAATAGCTAGTTCACTGGTGCCAGTAGAACACTGCTTTTTCTACGCTTTAGGAAACCAGACCCTAATGGGATATTCCTGGAACTTCTGTTAGTAGTGATGTCCCAACACCAATCATGTTTTGTTTACAACTGCTGAAATCTCTATCTGGTTTTGGTAGCTAAAGCTGATCTAGCACTGGATTTTTCTTTTTCTGTCTTCTTCCCTGCTGAGTCAAAATATACCCTTTCTATTCTGCGTATATTGTAAATTTTCTAGGAGTCTGTGCATTTTCATTACAACTATACTAGTCTAATACTGTCATGCTCTGAGATATGAGAGCTAAGGAGTTTTTACGGTATTTCTTGATCTGTCATGAAGCGACCACTTAGGAGAAAGCAGTAACCTTAAAATGTCTCTTTGTGGAGCTCTTTGTTTGTTTGTTCCTCCTTAGCTTTTCTGTTGTCTAACCTCTTAATCTCCCTTGAGCCACCGTGCTTCTAGCTGTGCTGTTTGCAGCAGTGATGATTTGAGATGTACTCCTGCGGGTTCCTTATGTGGAACTGAAAAAATGTTAGCTCTTAAGATTACTTGTTTTGCTTACAGAAATAAAAAAATGAACTGAAAAAAAAAAAGATAATTTAATTCTTATAGAGGGATTTTCATATGGAAGTATCCTAAAATACTTCACCAAGCCACTAATTGGTGCATAAGCTAACAAAAATGGATATGTATAGGGAGAAGTATGGAAGGTATTTAGCAACCTGAAATGAGGAAATATGTCCTGTCAACCACGATTTTTTTTTTTTTCTTAGTGAAAGAGCCTGTCTTAGTTCTCAGAGCCATAGATGGCATTTGTATGCGTGGATATTATAGGGAAAAATACTGAATTGGTAAACTGATTTGGCAAATATTTATTCATTGTTAGTATTTACAGTAGAACAGTGGAATACAATACCTGAGATAGAGGTGCTGATGGAGCATGAAGGCTTTAACCTTTTAAGTACCTAGTAAACATCAAGAAAATGACTAATCTTCCTTATCAATAATCAGTGCCTAAGCAGATGATTTTTGGGAGGCAGGTGGAGGAGAAAATCATTAAGAAGCAACAGCCTGCCACAAGATTGTATCCCTGTCCTCGTCCTCTCTTTCCATTGAGCAAAAGATGTTACTTACTGTGTGGAAGGAGATGAGAGGAACTTTCTTTGACTTACCTTATTTGATTAGCCTCTGTACTAATATTGTCTTCTAGCAGTCATTGAGGTGAAGCTTTCATGAAAGCTACGAAAAGGCAACAGCTGATCCTATCACTTGTTATTTCTCATACTGAAATAAACTGTGTACATCTAGGTACCGAAGGTTTTTCTTCCAGAAGAAAATCCTGGTTATATACTTCATTGCCTAGATAAATAAACGATCCAGGGACCCTTGCAAGTGCAAATGGTAGTCTGTAGTGTTTTAAAGCAGAGATACATGACGTAATTTACGATTCTAATCAGGCAGCTTTTCTAGATGGCATCGTAGTTTTCTCCATGGCAACGCTTTGCAGATGTGCTCGGCTGGCTTTGTTGCCGTGCAAGGTTCACAGCAGGGACTGCTGGTGTGGAGTTCCGCTGTGTGGAATATGTGTCCTTTTCTTGGTTGCTATTACCCTTCAAAACTCCCTGCTGTAAGCCCTCTGTAGGCTACCTACGACAGTTTTTATTGAAAACATCTACAGATGAGTTTTAAAGCTGACTCTAATCTAACTCATTTTTCCTTTCTGTTTTACATAGTGTCATCCAGGTCTGTCCTGTAACCCACAGGAGCAGAGTAATATTTGTATAAACATTAAAATATTTTAATTAACCAACCAGCTTGTGGTTTGTTTTTTTTTTTTTTTTTTTTTTTTGGGGGGGTTTTAAATAACAAACCCTCATGCTTGACCTCTATAGACTTTTGCATTAAAAATGCTTATCCCAGATGCTGGGATGTCTACAGAAGTAAAAAGGCTTTTCTTGAATGCGTTAGTGGAATTCTTAAAATTTTGAAACCCCCCCCGTTGTGGTTTTGTTTTTTTTTTTTTTTTTTTTTGGCAGGTATGATATAACTCAAACCTCATGCTTGACCTCTATAGACTTTTGCATTAAAAATGCTTATCCCAGATGCTGGGATGTCTACAGAAGTAAAAAGGCTTTTCTTGAATGCGTTAGTGGAATTCTTAGCAGCTCACACATGCTGTGCATTTGCTTTTATGTGGCTTTTAGATGGTCTTCAGAGGATGAAATACTTCTTGAAAAAGCTAATCTTTATTTTAATAATGTAGGTTTGTGGCCAAGTGACACAAGTATGTTTGTCTCTGGAAAGTAGGGCTGTCTCTTTTGATCTGAATTTTTGTGATGCGTGACAGACTTCTGTGCTCCGAGTTACTTCAGTTAAGTCTAAAATGCTCATTAAATTCTGTAGAGTACAAGGAATTTAATGAAGGAGCACATTAGCTTTGAACTGTTGAATTTTGGCATTATTTGTTCTTTGTCAATGATATCCTTTATGATTTTTCTTTATCCTTTATAAATTTTCTTATTAAATAATAGGGAAAAAAGAAGTCAATTTTATCAGAGGTCCTTGGATATGTACACTGATGATGGACGGCTAAGATATTTTTTCCAGTGACAAATTTCATACTTATCCCAACAATGTATTATTTTCCTTTCTGGAAATAAAGTGACATTCAACAACATTTATTGCTGCAGACTTAATCTGAAAGCTTCAGGACAAAAACGCATGAGGCACTGTATTACCTGTTAGAAAACTTGTGTTCTCTAGGAACTGCTCAATAGGACGGGAATTAATCCCAAACTGGATGTGTACACACATCCTGTAGAGTACAGAAGGCTTCAAGTATCCTGCCAGAGATTGAAGTGGAGTGAAAAATACTTTGAGATGGATTTAAAAAAATTTTTTTATAAAGTTGTTAATTTTGGTTTCTTAACATATTAACTTCTACTGTACACTAAGCACAAACTTAAGGATTACAAATTTATTAGATATTAGAATGGTATTTTTCACATTGTATGCTTGATTTGCAAGGATGCAGTGCAGGGAAATCTTTTGTTCTGGATCTCCAAACTCATTAAACATACTAGCAGAATATAGAAATACTTAATGAAATTATTACAATGCGAGTCTTCCATGAAATTCCTTTTGCTGCGCTCTAAGAAAAGTGTTGTGTCCTATTTTCATCCTGGTTTTGTCATTTAATTTCTTCCAAGAAACTGTTTAACTTAATAGGTAAACTGGACAAATTTCAGATAGTAGTTTTACCAAAAAGCAGAATTTTTAGATGAAGCAGAATTAGTTTTACATTGTTCTGAATTTGGCAAATATTTCTATTTGAAATTTTAGCTTGACTTTCATTGTGACTCCAAAAAGGAAGATTTTTTTTGAGAAAGAAAAGGAAGATAATTATTTGTATGGTGCTCATTCCTGGCTAACATATCTTTTTTCTTTGCTAGGTTGAAGACTGACAAAGCTTTGCGTTTGAGTATCATTGGTGAGCAGAAACTTCTATTACTGAATACAGTACTCAACTTTTTAGCATAGATTTTAAGTTTTACCAACTTTATAGATAGTCCAATTAGAGCTGCTTTCTCTATAATCTGACTCTCTAATCTTAAAATAGACTTTGTTGAAATGCTGAAATACCTGACACATTCGTTCAAGTAGTATATACAGCGTTGAATTTGGGGCAGAGTATAGCCTAATCTTTAGTCAGTCTACATGACAACAGGGCAATATAGACCAAATGTCTGTTGTTTACATCTGCATATGTATTTATTGTACTTGTTTCCATGCTTTTTTTAATCGCTTGTAAAAGAGGATGATATATGTGTGTGAACAGACACATTGTGCTAGCAAGTAAATTCAAAACTTTGAGACACAACCTGAAATATTTTTCTCTTTCATATGATTAACACTGCACCTCGTCAATTTAATTTGTTCGAAAATTGTGGTGATCAGAACTCTTGCTCAGAGATTGTGTTGGGTTTCTTTTCTCACTTGAGATCTTCCTAAGTTTCCATCTTAAGCAACTGATCCAGTGATACTTTAAACGCTAATTTCCAGTAAAGCAAAGTGTAGCTGCTTTTTCCCGTAAGGAAGACATAAAATACATCTGAAATGATGTGAGAATGTTTCTATTCCAGCTACTTTCACACCTGGTACACACAATATCAGTGAGTCTGTGGTGCCATTCAAAATGTTGAAAAATGGGTGGTTATTTCCAAAACTTTGAAGAACTTAGATCAATGTTGATGCTACAGTGATGATGTAATCATTAATGTTAAGTTTATTCTTGCAGGAGAAAAATTGCAATGGTTTCAAAGTCACCTTGACCCTGATAAAATTGAGTACACAAAGAAGGAAGCTGGTGAACTAATTGAAAAGTAAGACTGGTGTTAAAAACAGGATTAAAAAGCTTGATTTGTCTTTTAAAAGAAAGTTTTTAAATAAGATCTGTAAAGTGATGATGACTCAGAGAAGGACTTTTTATATATTACTGTTAATAATATCAAATAGTTGATTTTCTTGCAAATGAGGTTAATTATATACTGAAAGATGTATATATTCACAGTAGAATTAGTGAAGTCAGTCATGTTGTCTGGGGTTTTTTTATTATTTAAGTATATCTCTGCTTTTGTAGTGTGTGGAGGACTCTAAATGATTTGGACAGTAGTAATTGCATGAATTTGCTAGTCAGGTTATTCAGTGACAAAAGCACAGACTTCATTCTACTTACTCCTTTATTCTTTAAGTTTCTTTGCTGGGATTAAACATTACTCAGGTCAATTTTTAGGGCAGGAAGTATCAAAATTGAATTTGCTAAGAAGGAACTCAGTTGTTTTTGTGCTGCTGGATGTATGTACCTATAGCTCCTCACCATTTTTCATCTGCTAGGTAAATAACATAATATATATGTATTCTTACACAGGTGTACTATATCAGTTTCCTTTCAGAAGCTCTGACATATTTTCTACACTGTTCATGCAACCTGTAAACAGCTAATCAATGCTCGTGGTACTGCAATGGCAATAAAGGCTTACTTTTTGGATTTGGGCTAGGTGTTTGCGAGGTGATGTAGAACACATGCCAAAAAAGAACTTTACTTCAAAAATTATTACTGAGGTGGTGAAATTCAACAATTAAGTTAGAAATACTTAAATTTAGCACTGGTCTTCCAGAGCGGGAGAATTATAATAATGTTTGGGGTTTTTGTTTTGTTTGTTTTATGCAAACATAGATTAAAAAAAAAAAACAACTAAAAAAAAAAGTCCTTCTGTAAGCTGCAGATGATTCAAATTCAGTTCTAAGTGGAGCTTCCACTTTGATATTAAAGTAATAGTTCAAATCTAAGAAACATCTCTGACTAATGTAGAAAATAAATACAATTAGTAAAATAACTTCTTAGATTATCAAAGTAATTCTGTTTTGCAAAAGTTTTGCATGATTGCATCTAGCATAAATGCATTTTATTTCTTTCAGTTATATGTGTCGATTCAATGCTGAATTGGAGCAGATTGAATTACAAAATAGTATTAAAGGTAGACAAGGAAGACAGCATGGTTCACGGGAAACTGTCATCAAGCAGACCATAGAACGTGAAAGACAACTCTATGAAGGCTATGGAATAGGTATGTAAAAACAGTAGAAATAATCCTGTGGTCACATCTCCTCCTGCTCACAAGGCTAGAATTGAAGTGAAATTTCTAGGCATGATCTTTATATTTCTCTTTAAAGGAATTAACTAACTGCTAGGCATCTACGCCTCGTAGATAAGTTTGGGAGGAAGGGCAGAGTGAAGAAAAGGAAAAAAAAATGATGGTGGAGATCTGGCTCATATATTTCTGCTTTACTGCTTTGCCTTTGTGCATCTTTGTTAGTACTCCCTCTTTCGTGCAGGCATATATAACATTTTTGAAACTAAAGTGAGATTTAATGCACCTGTCTCAAATACAAATTCTGTTCAGCAGCTTGCTTGGATCTTCATTATATAAGAAGTATTTTTTATCTTAAAAATGCACTTCAGTGGGTGTGCATGTTTTAACACACATTAGCATGAAGACTTTATTTGCTCATGTGGAGAACACCCAGCATCACTTTCTCTACAAATTATGTACTTTTCTTAGGTGGGCTTTGTTATCTGGGTTTGTGCTAATGAAGTCTTTATACACAGCTTCCTCTAACATTGTTTTGATAATATATATACTTACTGTTAGGGATAAACCTGTGGCCTGACTTGCCCCTTTCTGCTGAGGTGGACCAGTGGCATGAGGAGCTTCAACAAGTTTCGTATCATGAGAGAGTAGGCTTTAGGTTTCATGAACTTGCAGAGAACCAAAGCCTCTGAACTCGTGGGCCTAAAACCATCTTCAGAAAGAGGCCATTCATTCCACTAAGGTTGAGATGTGCTTCATGTGGGAGAATGATTGCAGCAGAGATTGTAGTACAGACGTATTTCCAAAAGTTGAATATTTCTGGAGTTTTCGTATTAAAATTCAGGTAGTCCAGGAAGAAATCCTGGCTGTTGTGACACATCTACTCTACAGGCTCTATTCTACAGGCATAGATGATAACCCAGAAGTAGAAAAACACATTTTTCCGCTTGTTCTTCTCAGGCAGAGGAGGTATGCTCCTTTCTTTGACTTACTGGAGATGGTGGTGGAGGGAGTGAAAGTGCTCTGTGTGTGTGAAGGCCCTAACACTTAACCTCTTAATAATCAAAACCCCACAAAAACTCTGAAGATGTAAAACTAAAAATTTTGTAGATAAGAGCCTAGTTGAAAGCACTTTGAGTTTTTAAACATTTACCTTGGGCATTATCACAAGTTTGAATAAAATCATAATGCCAGATATTCTCGTTGACTTTTTTTATTACCATTTATCTACCTTTGAGGTAGCCATCTGTGCCAGCAGATTATGTAACGAAAACTTTTGAGGAGCATCATGTGTGAAAACCACAACGTAAGCATTAGAGCTGAAAATTTCCTCTTAAGTTGCATAGTCTTCTTTAAGAAGAAACACTTAAACTCTTTTTGAAAGTATTTTTTGGTTTTGGAGGTAGCACACAGATGCAAGCTACATGTGAGAAAGAAATAAAAGACTGAAAATTTGATAGCTAGAACTAAGCTGAAGGGAAGCAGCAGTAATCTGGTGAAATAAGGGAGAAAGACAAAGGGATAATGGAAGTGCAAAAAGCAAAGAGTTGTTTTGAGGAGAGTCAAGTACAAAACAGTAGTGAAATTTATGTATTTTTCTTTAGCAAATAAGCATGTTGGAGTTGAGTGAAGAACTTGGCTTTAATGATAAAGTATTATTCAAAGGCAATCAGTCCTTCTAACAGTGAAAGTACATCATGGAAGACATAAAAAAATCTGCATTGCTCTGTGGTTAGGATACAAAGCACAGCAAGGTTTGGGTTGTGTGTCATATTCCCTTTTCCCCCAATTTGTCTTTTACCAGTAAAGAAAATGAATGGTTCTAAAGATTTTGCTAGTGTTGCTTAGTACTTCCACATCCTGCAGTGGCAGAGGAATTCAGGAATAGCTGTGTGACTTCATGTGTAATCTTTGATTTCTTAAAAGGGAGGGGAAGTCATAGCAAGATAGATACTATGAATGTCATCAAATAGCACAGATGTAGAAAATCTCCTTTTTGGTTTTGCTTTTCAATTTTAGTTCTTCCTTTTTTCCTTACTACTTTGTGGAAAGCTGACAGAAAAAAGCAGTAAGACTAGATAGAAAGATGTCAAATGCACAAGCACAACATAAAAATAAAGAAGAATCCAGAAATATTGTAAGCAAAATTTGAGGTTATTATAGTATTAGTAAGTAAAGCATTCAGAGAGCATGGTGCAACTTCACATATTAAATACACTCTCAAATCATTCATTATTTGTTACCACAGCTGCTGCAGGTTTTGCTCTCTGTCTAGGACAGTATTCATTCAGAGAAAATAGTTGCTGCTAAATACTCTAATTAGAGATTGGGGATAAATGGAAATCAGCTGGAAACTGTGCTTTTACACTCTAGCTCATTATTATCCCTGGAAGCTGTAGTGAAGGGAGTTTTTATAACTGGCTTGGTATTTGTTGGTTTTTCCGCCCCCCCCCTCCCCCCCTTCTTGAACTTAGTTATGTCTTGTATGCATGTGCATTTGCTATGAAGAGACTACATGATATGAATTGTTTACATTTAGGAAAGTCCCCTACAATTTTGATGCTCTGTGTGTATATATATCAGATATGTGTAAACAAAAAATTAATTCTTCTTTACTGGCTGTTTACAAAAGTGGTAGATATACAAAAGCATAGTAAATTTTAGTCTTTTTTTTTTTTTTTTAAATAGTACCTATACAGGGAACATCCAGTCTATCTGTGAGGTTGTTGAGTTTTTTAGCAGCTACTTGTCACTTCCTTACTCCTGAAATATATCTACATTAATTTTTATGCAGTTTTCTTCCTGATATTGTCGTGTGTGTGTGTGTGTGTTTGTTTTTTTAATCTTGTCTTACACGTTTATAGCAAAGCTATTGAAAGGGAACCCTAGATACTTACAGGATATGCCCTTGGAACTCAGAGTTAGCATGCTTTCAGTTGAAAAGCATCATAATTATTTCATCTGAACATCATACATTTTTGATAATTTGCTTCTAATTACCTTGCATATTCTCTCAGAAGCATAATGTTAATCTTGGGGAAAAATGGCCTTTAAAGCTGAATGCACCAGTTTTATTAGTTAATTCTTGAAACTTCGGTATATAAGGAAATTGATTTAATTCAGATGAAAGTTGTGTCATTTACATGTATCTGATAGTGTAACTACTGTACTGTTTATTAGCTGCTGTTTTCTGTAACGATCATTATTGTGTAACTGAATGGTTCTTTAGATAAAGAGCATCTAGAGTTTCTAACATCCTTTTCCTTTTTTAACTTCAGGCTGCAATATCATCCTTTGACCTGACTTGGGTGTTTCTCTGTATGACAGTTCTAATGGATGAGAGAGAGAGAGAGAGAGAGAGAGAGAGAGAGATGCTTCCTATATTCTGTGCAGAGCACTGTCAGAGCAGTGACATTTCAGTCCTTGTGAGATTTGGGTAAATCTCTTGTACAAATCTTTGCTTTGGGAGAGATAAATGGTTACTACTATGAAGAACAATGATGTTTTTAGAATCACAGAGTCATTAAGGTTGGAAAGGACCTCTGAGATCGAGTCCAACCGTTAACCTAACTGCCTGGTCCACCTCTAAGCTGTGTTCCTAAGCACCACATCCACACGTTTTTTTGAACACTTCCAGGGACTGTGATTGCACCACTTCCCTGGGCAGCCTATTCCAATGCCTAACCACTCTCTCCGTGAAGAAATTTTTCCTAATATCTAATCTAAATCTCCCGTGGCACAACTTGAGCCCATTTCTTCTCGTCCTTAATAACAGCATACTTCTGGAAGGAAATAAAACATCTCAGCAGACTGTCACAGAGCACTTGGTTAAAAAGTAGTGCTGTGGAACACAGCTCTGGAAGGGCACCGCGACACTGGGATGGGCTCCCCTACGCCCTTTTTCTCTGGTTATGCTTTAGAAGCCTTCCAGCCCAAGCCTGTGCACAGAGGCAGGATCAGTTAGACCTACAGCTGACAGAAGCTTTTTACTTCTGAAGCCCATCAGAACTTTGAAGTAATCTGGTCCAGTGCTTCTCCATCCGAACAGTTGGAGAGGTGCTGACTTTACAGTATTTTATGCAAGTCTGTGTTACAAGTTAAGCTCAGTCACTTTGTCTTTTTCCTTGTCGTGAAACGGTGTTAAGCAGTAACATCTTTGTGACAAAGTTTGAGGGCTAACATGCTCTTTGTTCTTCCTCAGAAGAAAGATAGGAAAATAAAACATGATCTGAAAGGGTCAGAAACATGAAAAAAATGGTTACTGAAATTTTTCACTGCTGTTTTATTATAACGCATAGGTTACTGAATACTTCATCCTAGAAATACCAGACAGTATCTGCTCCCCAAAATACTGTCTTCGTTTCTTCTCCACTAACCCCTGTACTGTATTTCTCCATCTTCTATTTTTTCCATCTTTAGTTCAGAAACAATCTTCTGTGACTTAACATTTTTAAAGCAAACTAAGAAGTTCAGAAGTAGTAGCAAAAAACATGACACTGGTGCATGCTAAGGAGACACTTCTCACAAGACAAGTATTATTAATCTGAAAATACAGCGCTACTGCAGCTTTCCACCATAATTTAAAAAAAACAGTTACTGCATGATATATAGTTACTTTATTTCTACACACAAAATAGAACAGGACTAGAGTTTCTAGTTCTGTTCCTAATCTGGCACCCCTGGGGTTTGTATTGTGTAACATACTGTGAACACATGTAAGCACAGAACTTAAAAATGTTGCCACTGCCAAAGCACTAAAGATCAATTCAGTTCCAAATATTGCTTTGTCACAGAATCTCCCTGCCTCAGAGTGCCTGCTTTCTTGTGGCGCTGGGGCGAGCCCTGGATGACAAGCTAGATAAAACAATTAGAATATTCTGTTTGGAAAATGTCCTATGTAAGTTAATAAAAGCCATTAAATACTTTCCAAGGTGGTGGTTTTTTTTGTTTTTTTTTAGCCAAAACAAAGCAATTGAAAGGGCTTAATTTGAAAGTCTTGTCACTTAGTCCTGGTTTGTCTGAGAATAACGCTGAACTGAATGTTTGGTCAGTGCTTTGATAGAAGGAACAAACAGAAATCGCAGCACATTTCTGGGGCAGCAGGCCCAAACTAGCATGGTGGCACTTCTGCCGCGCTCACTGTTTACATCACAAAGCTCTGTCCTAGGAGACAACTGAGTAGGCGTTGCTCCTTGTACAATCTCTGAGAGAAGGGGAGAACTTCTCTCTCTCATGTGGAGGCTAGGACACTTCAGCATTTGGCACTGTGCTGCCAAGAGTGCAATTCAAGTGATTACAAAGAAAGGAAGAGGGACCATGGCTTTGTTTCAATGCTTAGCTGGGAAGGATGGACCTAATGTGGCATTGGTGTTTATCGGAACCCAGGAATCAGCAGACAAAATTAGGATTAGATATATGTTTCTTTGCCTTACCTTGATTGGCTGTGAGCAGTATCGCTCTATTTATTTACCAAGAAGCAGGCTGCAGAAATCAATGTAATTGGTATCAAAAACTGTTGTGTATATTATTGTTATTCAGTTGGTAACTTTGTAACCCAATGCGAGGGAAAGAAATAATTTCTGAATAATAAAGACTATCTGACAGGTACCATCATCCTACATTCTGTAGTAGTAAAATCATCTATAATCCTGCATTAATAGCATCATCTGATTTATTACTTTGAGTCAAGAAAATTGATAGATGAACAAAGGCAGAACTGTATGTTCAGAGTTTGCTCAAGGAGAGTATCAGAAGTTCCTGAAGTGTCATGTTTTTAAGAGCTGAAATAGTAAAGTGAATTTAACATTACAGAGGTAGCAACCAGTCGTCTTTGTTGAGTGACCTGTTGCTGTGTAATCTGTACACTTCCTAGACAGCAATAAGGTATTTTATACTGTGCAAAAAATTCAAGGCTCCTAAGGTATAAATCTCTACAAATCAGGGAAGGTGTTAAACACAGGTCACTTGCAATACTTCAGGACTGACCAGGAAAAGAATGACACTGAATCAAGGCAAAGCAGCTTAGGCATCCTAGGTGAAATTCTGCATCTAGTTCCTATGAACTAGTTCCTACGTTCCTAGGAATGTTTTGACTACTCCAGGAGGGGAAAAAAAAAAAAAAAAAGGTCTGTCCCATAGGTCTCTACAAGATGTTTGTCTTCTTTTTTACTACCAAAAGTAATAAAGATCTGTAGTGAGTATATGTCACTTATTTCTGTTAGTGGGGAAGACTGAAAGCTTAGTCCTTAAAACTATTGATGTTTGTTTCTGTTCAGCTGAGAGGAACATCAGCTCATGAGAGGAGACAGGTGCCAACAGTCTATATAAATATCATGTTGCATTTACTGCAGTATGTAACAGGCATTTCAGCAACCACGGAATGCTAGTTTCCCAGTATTGAGTGGTTTATAGAACAGGTATTTAACGATGGAAACTATACTTGCGTTGGCGTGAGACTAAGTGTTATCAAATAGCCATTCTTTGCTCTGGGGCTGTCTCATTGCAGGTGGAAGGAAGTAGCATTATATTCCAAAATCCAAGAATGTGTTCTCTTTAAACACCTGACATCTTACTGTACTCTTCCCGGTGTTTGTATTTTAAAAACACACATGCACGTATATATTCTTGTACTGCATGGTAAATTTTACAAAGTGTATTTAACTGTTACATTTTCTTACTTGAATTACCAGAGTTACTTTCCTAACTCTACTGCTGATCTGACTTGCTTGCAGTGGTGACTTAAGTGCTTTGAAATTTTTTTCCAAAAACATTGCAAAATACTTATGGACCACTTAGTACTCATTAGTTTAGAGTGAGGCTTGTATATTTAGGCCAGCTTTGAAACTAAGCTTTCTTATTTTTCCTTTTATCTGTTGTGCATGTTTATAGTAAGTTCTGCAAGAGCAGAATTGTGAGTGAATGTCTGTTAAAAACTAGCATCTTGATCTTGGTTGAGGATGTCAGTTATGCTTTTAAAACAAATAATAAATTAATTATTTTCCTAGTTTCTTCACTGGGATTTTTTTTAAAGGGAAACTTTAAGTGCTTAAAATTTTGCTATTTCTCGGATGCGTCAGCTTAGTGAAAGCGAAGCACCCTCTTTGTATTACTTGTCAGGATTGGATTTTAAGTAACTGGCACATTTTAATTCTGGAACAGTGCATAGGTGTAAGGGCACTTCCTTTTCTTTAGCAGCGAGAGGTCTTCCTGTTTATATATTGCTCTAGAAACTTTCTAAAATTAATCCTCATTCTCATTTTCTTGGTCTTTTAATCTCTGAAATAATATGTTCAGCCCTTTAGCTCACATGTCTTTCTTTGAAATGAGACTCACTTGAATAATGTAACACATCTAACAGAATTTAATTTCATTCCAATTAGAAATCCCAGACATTATGAACAGAAAGCATCTTAAATTTTTCAGGTAAGTTCTTTTTATTATCACTACTAATCTGTTTATGCAATACAGCGTTTCTGAATTTGACAGGTTGTATGTCTTTTTTCTTAAAGAAGAATTTATGCAAAACTGTCAAAGAATTTGTCACTTGAAAAAGCAGACTAGGTATGGTGTTGCTATTTCGGCATTTCTTAGCTGTTACAAGCTAAACACAGGTGACAGTTAATCATTAAAACATTGGAGGAGTTGGAAATCTTCAACAGCTAAAATTCCATTTCTGTAATTTAAGTATCTTTTTTTTTATATTCTTGGAGAATATTTTCTCTTTACCTAAAATTCTCACCTCAGCTGTTCACTGATTTACACAAAAAGATTAGCATTTACTGTTAGTGTTTAAGGATCAAGACATAGATTTATTGATAAATGGAATTACACTGTTTTCTTACCTGAAATGAGATTTCAGATGGTAATTGCAGTCGTATAACATAGTGACCTAAGTTATTTATAGTCAGAACTTATCATTAAGTAACTAAAACAACACTGAGTTTTAGTTATGTTTTCTAAGATCCAACTCTAGGCGTAATACAGTCTGCAGCAGAGTTTGTGTGTAATACTAGTTGAAAATCTGAAGCGAATTGATGACTTGCATGCAGTTGAAAGATCTGGGAGCTGTGAAACTTGCTGCTAGCTCATCTGGGGCAGCAAGCCCATATGCTTTGGTAATGGATTGAATGAACACTCTTGCTGGCAGCTCTATCAAATCAGATACTTTAAAGAAAAAAAAAAAAAAAAAGACTTACTAATGCTTACGTTGCCAGGAATGATATACCGCTAACTCCTAGGGGTGGTGTGTAGCCAGAAGTCATAGTTATAGGATGGTGGAATAAAGCCAGAAATCTCAGAGAAGAGACAGGCCTCTGGCTGCTGTGCTTATAAGTACATAATTGACTACTTGTACTGGGACATCTGATGGAAGTGGTGTTTTATTACCTAGGGCAAAAACACATCTGTCTTATAATTGGCAAATACTGTCTTTGCCCTTGAGAAAAAATTATCTATGAAGTGCACTTACTATAATCAAGCAAGCATTCTATTAATTGAGTACTGGATTTGACTTGTGATATTTAAGTGAACCCTTCCTCCTTCATGGAGCCTTTTGAAATAATATACTTATCATGTGAATTAATGTTTGCTAACATTTTGTGTCCCCTTGAAGTCAGTCGTACGAGATGTTAACAGTTACCATAAATCGTAATGAAGGGATTTACGTACAGGTACATCAGCTCTGCAAATTGAGCATCCAGATGAAAAAACTCTTCCAAACTGCTTTTCCATTGCTTACAAGACTGGGAGTTCAGTGTGTCAAACCTAAAAGCCGGTGGCCTAAAGTAGTAACTGAGGGTACAAATAGTCTGTGGGAAAAAAGTGAATCACACATTTTTTGTTCAGAATGTCAAATCTGAAAGTACTTAATTCTTCACAGAAAAATTATAGTTGCTGTAGTGTACAAGATCAGGTGAAAATGTTGGTGCTTATTCATACTCCAGTGGGACTGATAGTACAATTTAGAAAAGCAGCCTCACTTGAGTTAGCATCTTCTGAGGAAAAGTAAATTAACTCTGCCATTCCTTCTTGCTATTGCTATTGGTAATTGTTTTTCATTACTTTTTTTTTTTTTTTTCATTTAAGAGAATGGGATGGTGATCTGAGGAAACTGCCAAACATCAAAATGAAAAAGCTCTCAGCTAGGGATGCTGCTTGCAGTCACCCTGAGGAGGCAGATGTGGAAGCTAAAGAAGAATTGAATAAAGCCGAAGAGGTGGCCTAATGAGCACCAGCTGATTCAAGAGCTGAAACAGCTGAATGGAATTGTAAGAAACCTATTTTAATTATCACTGCAAACAAGAATAAATTGTAACTATATTTGCAAATTTTTGCTAGTTGCATTTTTTATGAGCTTGCTGTATACCTATGGTAAAGAGTAAACAGTATATTATTGGGTAAAGTTGTGTATTATTAGGTAAAAAATTTTGAATATAAATAAATACTTAAAATCTTAATTGTGTCCTTACTTCTCGTACGGTACCTCCTCTTTAGGATGCAGGCTCCTGAGCTGACAAAGCAATTGTAGTTTATATCTTGAAATCCTGAGTAGTTGAGTATCTCGTCCCTGGTCATAGGCAGTCAGGATACAGACACCTGTTAGAAATACTTAGTGGTGGGAAATCCTTATGTTTTCCTGGTAATGGCAAGAATACGTGTCATTTAGCGTATAAATAGCAGGTACCCTGGTAAACAGTGGGCCCAGCTAGTGGCAGCTTTTATCCATCTCTTGTGGTGGTGGCTGGGATGTCTCTAGGTGTACACAGTTTTGTGGAGAGCAGTGATAGGCCTCATCTCACAAAATCCTGTGCTGCATGGCATAGAACACTCACCTTGGGTGTAAGAAATGCTCTCCCACTTGGTGGAAATGTATATGCAGAAGATGAGATACATGGAGCATCAGTTAATCATGAAGAACTCTTCTCTGCCTTCTTTTGGCTGAGAATCTGTGTCAGGAACATAGAGAGCTGGAAAGACTTCAATAAAATATTGAGTATTTTATGTTTTGTCAAGAGAATTTGAGAGAATTACACTGTCCTCACCACTCTGTATCGAAGAATTCAGATCAGAAGCCCCTACAGTCTGTTTTTAAATATATCTTTGTTCATATTTTTTTTGCTGACCCCTCTGTTGAGAAAGCAGTGCATTTTAAAATTAAGTTGCTTAGGACTTCTACATAGCAGGCTTGCTTTATGAAGCAACTCTTTAGATGACTTTAAATGTGTCTTTTGGGAACATTCTTAGCAGATTCTCACTTTTAATACCATAAAATAAAAAAAAAAAAAAAAGAGGAAAAAAAGGGCAAGGGCAAAGGCAGGGATAATTTCACAGCGGGCATTAAGTAGGACATCTCTGTTAGTGCGGATTAGATTGTCTGGGCACAGAAGTCACAGTTCAGATGTACTGTCTGTACACATTGTAGCAATCACAGTTCAGATGCCTGTTAATTATGTGGAAATAATTATTCCTGGTGGATGATCCTTCTAGTACTTGATCCCCAATACAGTTCTCTGTGTTAAACAACAAGGTTTTGTCATGGTAAATAGTTACATGGGTTTCCCAGATTTCTTTTACAGATATCCAGGTGTGTATTTTCTTAGCTGTGCAGTAAGTGTTACTGATGAGTGTTATTCTATTAACATCTATATTAAATTTTTCCCTATTTACAAAGTAGGCTTGTGCTATCCTTTCACGTTTTAGGAAACCAATCTATTTAAGTAATATAGAATTAACCACTGTCCTCCTTAAATTAATCTAAAGAAGAAACCTGAACAAATTTAACAGACCTGAAGCATGTGTGAGTGATCTAACGCATCTTCAGATGGACTGCAAGTCTTAAGCCTGGCGAAAGGTCTTATCCTCTGACACCAGCCATATCTCTAGGCTGTCACATCACAGCTTTGTGTTTGTGTTTTAGAAATCAGTGTGCTGAAGTTCAGGGCAGGCCTTTGATATTTTTTAACTTTGTTAAATTGAGCTGTGTTGTGGAATTCAGCTTGTTTGGATTTATAAAACTTGAGGTGTTGCACTGTGGTGAAAGCTGAGCCAGGGTAATTGGTCTGAATTAAAGCCATGCCTGTGTTTGCTCAGCGGTTTGACAGATTTTGCCTTTCAGAAGATTCATCTTAAATTTTTGCTTGTATACAGTGTCTGATGTGCTTTGAAGTTGTAAGTAGAAACATTGCAGAAGTCGTCACTTTCCCATCACGTTGGGTAATACACAGAAGGAAAATGAGCAGTAAGGTAACTAGAAGGTTTGGCATGTTCCGGTAATGACGGTGTATTAGACTGACATCCCGGTGAAAGCTTTAAAAAAGATTGTCCCGCCAAGTTATGGAGAATGAGATGTTCTATGTTCCTTGAAACAATTCACTAATAAGGCATTATAAAAAAGTAATTATTACTTGTGTGGTTGAGGTGATAAATATTTGAAATGATTTCTTTTTTAACATCTGTTGGTCACACTTCAAGAACATGTTTACAGTTTGGACTTTGTTGAGTTTGTGGATTTTCTCCCTTGAAGTCTGTGTATTCACTGCTTGTTTAGCTGGCTTTTAACCTGTCTTGTTGACCTGCTGCATAAGTAATGAAGAAAGAACAGTTTCTGTGTGTGAACTTCTTACATTGATTTATCAGAAAAGTTAATAGGTAGCTGTGAAATATTGATATTTGAATTGAAAAGTAATCTGGGCTTAAGTTGATAATGTGCAAGACCAATTTACCAGATGAGTTTTGTTGCCAAATGCTAATGTGGCAATGGGGAAAAAACCCCAAAGCTATTTATTTATTATTTCGGTGCTCAGAGTTTTTGTGCTGAGAAGCCTGGAGCGGGAGTAGAGTCTTTTGCCTCCTATGTGTTACTGAGACAAGGTAGCGGAATCTCTTCTATCACTTTCATAATCCAATCCTGCCTGCGCTTTAAAGCCAGCTCTTAGGGTTTTGTATGTTGATGAGTTTCTTCCCTGTAGGTGGAGGAGCAGGATGAATGCTCTCAGGAGTTTGGAATTGCTACTCTGTTTCTTTAAAATTAAAATCTAGAAAGCAGCTGCTGTTAACA